ACTGGCATGCTGATTTCACACAGGAGAGTGGTTTCCAAAGTCCCTGAACACTAGAAATTCTGGTCTTTTCTCCTAGGCCAGGTCGTCTTCCCCAGTTACCTATCTTACTGGCTAAGATCACAAAGCCTTGTTTATTGAATGATTTAGGGCTTAAGAGTGCCCATTTTCTGATCATGGGCTCAGTCATACAGCACTAAACCTATAGCTTTCCACCTCTAAACTTTGAGACAGAGAGGGCCTGTTACCTCCTGCCTTATCCCGAACCAATGAACTCTAAGCACACCGCATACAGAAGTGGACCAAAACAATTTGTTTTTTACACTGGGGAACTTAGTGAGATCCTGCCTTAAATAGTAAAAAGACTGGGCATATAATATAGCTCGGGTTGAGTGGTTTGGGAGATCTTCTGTGACAGAAAGCAAGGCCAGTATGTAAAACAGCTCAGAAGAGAAGGCTTGCGGAAGGAAAGCCCTTGTGTGTATGCATGCCTTGTATTCAGATGCCCATGCACTTCTGTGGATGCTTCCAGGCAGGCTGGCCTTGCTCCGCTCTTACTGAGTTCTTGGGCCATCATACCTGTTGGGAAAACATGTCGTTTTGTTTTTATTTTTTTGACTGACCTGGAACTGGCTGTCCAGGCTCAGAGAAGAAAAGCTTGCAGAGCAGCTATACCTGGTACTCACCCCTTTCTGCATTCTGAAGGCTTCCAAGGTCATCTGATAGCATGCTGAGTTCTTAGCCCCAGAATACTGCAAGACCTTCCTTTGTTTAACCAGGCACTGATAAGGGCTGCTTAAGCTAGCCAAGGTACTTAGTTAGCCCTTCTGTCAGGTTAGAGGAGATAGGGCAGGCTACATTTGATGTTGTTGTTGTTGTTAGTGTGGAACTCAGCTTTCTGAATACTGCACATGTGCTGTACCAATGAGCTTCATCCTCATCCAGGATGTATGTATGTATGTATGTATGTATGTATGTATGTATGTATGTGTGTGTACTTCTGTCACATATTTACATGTTACCTGCTAGATGTGATTTGTGGCCAGCAGAACACTCTATTATCAGCCATCCATGGAGGAATTCCATGCGGGAAAGTTCTTTAAAATTTTTTTTAATTGTGTGTGCATGCCTGCAGAGTTCAGAAAAGGATATCAGATCCATTGGAACTAGAGTTACAAGCAGTTGAGAGCCCTCTGATGGGGATGCTGGGAACCTATCTAACCTTCCAGAAGAGTAGTGTCTGTTTTTAACCACTCTCCAGCCCCTGGGAAAAATGTTCTTTTAAGTTCTGCATAAACATCTTGAAAGTAGACTTGGGGCCTTGCTTCAGAAGTGGGGCTAAGTCATTGTCATTCCTTCTTCCATCTGATGCATTTGTTAGGCTGTGTTTAGCAACGGAGGAGGTTTCAAGATGATGGCTCATAGTCCTTTGGATGTCAAAAGGGTCAGGAGTGGGATGTTGCTATGTAGCAATGGGGCCTCCAAACCTTTGGCCAGAGTTTGGATTATTTCATAGTGGCCAGCTGGTGTTCTGGATCTGTGATTTGGACTTAGGCATCAGGGCTTGGGCAATGGGCAATAGGAAAAGAACTGGTCAGAGATCAGCAGGCAGGTTTGGGTTCTAATTCTAGCTCTTTTTTGTTGTTGTTATTTATTTTTGAGACACATTGTTGCTTGTTATCCCAGGCTGGGTATGACAGCCTACTGAATGCTATAATTGCAGGGATCAGGTGTTATTCCTAGTTTTAAGTTCTGTCTTAGGTCTGATGCACAACTGGGATCTCTCTCATGTAAGGCTTCTGCCATCTGGGAGAGCTAACTTCAGAATGAACCACAAACAGCTGAAAATGATGGCTCATTCTACTGCTTTTAGAGCCTGAAAATATCTCTAAAAATGACAGGATCCCCACCCCCTTTCTTTTTTGAGGCAGACTGGTATAGAACTCAAGGCAGTCCTACTGTTTGAGGCTCCCAAGTGTAGGTACATGTTGTCATGTCTGATGACTGGTGTGTGTGCATGTGCATGCATGTGTGTGTGTGTGTGTGTGTGTGTGTGTGTGTGTGTGTGTGTGTGTGTGTGTGTGTGTCCGTGTCCTGGTTTCTCTGTGTAGCCCTGCCTGTCCTGGAATTCCTCTGTAGATCAGGCTGGCCTTGAATTTAGAGATCCCATCTGCCTCTTGAGTGTTAGGATTAAAGGTGTAAGCCACCACCATTGGTTGACTATTTCTTTGTAAGGTAACTTAAGTTTCTTTGTGAACAGTATAGTCCTGGGTGGCTTGCCAGCACACTGAGTATTTAAGTTCGAAGGAGTTGACTGGAGAGACAGCTCAGCAGTTAAGAGCACTGGCTGCTTTTCTAGGAGACTTGGGTTTGATTCCCAGTATCCACATGGTGGTTCACAACTGTTTGTAGCATCAGGATATCCAGTGCTCCCTTTTGGCCTCCGTGGACAAAGTAATAAATACATTAACACATAAAATTAAATTGCATTTTAAAATACTGAAGGAGAGCTTGATCTTGATGCTGCCATCCCTCAGCTTTGTCTTTAGGTAGCCAGAGACACATTGTACCATGTTGCTTGACAAGTCTTTATTTACTTGTTTGTTTAGTATATATGTTTGTCTGTACATACTCCTCCCCACACTCCTGCGCTTACTACCTTATCTTGAGCTTCTAACGAACCTAGCACTTGATGATTTGGCTACAGCAACTGGCCAGCAAGTGCCAAGGATCTCCCTGTCTCTGCCTCCTAAGTGCTGCGGTTATAGGCTGCTGGGTTGGTCTTTTTCACATCAGTACTGGGGCCCTTGACTAAACCATCTCCCTAGCCCTCAAGAAGCCTTCAAAAGTTGGATATAGCATCACTGCTTGTCCATATCCCCAGCATAGATGAGACTGAGGCAGGAGAATCACAATCCTCAGCTACATGGTAAATCTGTGGTCAGCTTGGGCTACAGATTAAGACCCTATCTCAAACAACAATAAACAAACAAGAAAACCCCACCCACAAAAATAAAACACACACACACACACACACACACACACACACACACACACACACACACAGAAGGAGGGATGGAGAGATGGCTCAGTGGTTAATTGCCACTCTTTCTGAGGACCCAGGTTTGATTTACAGCAACACATGGTGCCTTACAACTCCAGTTCCAGGGGATCTGACACCCTCTTCTGGCCTCTCAGGCACTGCAAACATGGGGGACACAGATATATATGCAGGCGAAACACCCATATGTGTATACAGAGATATAAAGGGAAATAATTTAAAAAAATCTTAAAACCCCAAAGACACAGAAGGTCTGTTTAGCACTCCGTAGCAGTTGCTCTTTTGCTAGACATTACCCTCATGGAGTAGGCAGGGAAAGACTGGAGCTTAAACATTTGCTGTCGTTACCCCTAAGAAAGTCAGTCATTTGCTGAGCCACCTGTGTAGAGAATAGCTATGTCTTCTTTCCCAGAATTCTTTGTCGTAGCCTGAATCTAACTGCTGCTGTTTTACGTGGCTGAGCCTGCCTGTGTGTTCTGATAGGTTCCTAGCCAGTTTCCTTCTGTGGTGATGACACTGCTTGATAATGGTCTGGAGTAAAGGTCCATAGGTAGCTGCCAGTTGCCTTCAGGGTGGTCCTTAGGTTTATGGCATCAGAACCACCTGGAGGACTTGCTAAAAACTCACATGTGCCCAGCTCCTGGCACTTCTTATTCTGTGTATCTCTGAGGTAGAGCTGGTGAACTGCACGTCTCAGGAGTTGCTGGTGTGGTAGCTTTGAGCTCTGGGTCTTGTGTGCTCTGTGGCCGTGTGAGGAAGAAGTTGAGACATGTTCTGATCTTGCAGACCTCTCCTTGATTCAGGAGTCTTTCTCCCAGTAGCTCTGAGAGTATGAGTTTCTGCAAGCGGCAAATGAGGGTTTCAGAGCAGAGGGAACTGGCTAGTAGCCAGGAAGCCAGGAAGTTTTTGTAGAACTGTTACTTGGTCGGTCATTTGAACTGACTGTAAGACTCACTGAGTGGTACATTCTAGGAAGGAAACACTTCTGTTACAGTGTGGAGATGGAGCTGGACATGGTGACCTGTGCTTGTAATCCCAGCACACAGGAGGCTGTGGGAGAATAATAGCGGTGAGATCAAGCCTACCCCTGGGCCAGGTTAGTTTGAGTTACATTAGGAGACCCTGCCTCAAAAAACAAAACTTTAGAGTTGGTAAGAACCAGCATCAGCATACACTGCTATTTTCAGCTACATAATCTCAAAAAAAAAGACACCATTTTTTAATTAAAAAATAAGAGGAGATGGAAATGTTATAGGTATTTTAGTGGGCAAGTAGTGAGTCACTGCGCTGGTGGGGATTTGATTGATTGAGAGATTAGCATGTACAAGGCCCTGGGTTCAATCAACAGCACCAAGACATTGCCAAACAAACACACAAGATTGTATGGGTATCTAGCTTTAATTATTTCACAGGCTTTCTACTGCCGTGCAGCATTTAGCATTTTGACCAAGATAGGTTCACAGATTTTAAGGTTCACACAACCTCCACAAAACTTGATTACTGCCCTTCAAGACAGAAAAATCAAGTAAAGATTAAATTGCAAACACCACTCATTAAGGAATTAGTAAGTCTGTATTTTTCTTTATTTTTCATAGTTTTACAATTCTTTTTTCTTGTCCCAAATTCAGTGTACATAATTCTTACTTTAATGAAACAATATAACAATTTTTAAAGTGGATTTTGAATTGCACAGGTAAAAAGCAAACCAATCTGACCAATAAATAGGAAGCTAATTTGCCTCTGTGTGTGTGCTAGGAATTGAACTTAGGGTCTTGCACATGCTAAGTAGCTATTTTGCCACTGTGAATGTGCCCTCAGTGTGATTCTTAAACTGTTTTTTTAAAACACACATACATTTATTGTATTGTCACTCCTTTGTGTGTATTTAAAAGTTGCTGCTTTTGTGAAACAGCAAGTTAAAACATATCTTCTTGAATTTTAGGTACTTACACTGTGAAATTTTATGATGGAGTAGTTCAAACTGTCAAACATATTCATGTCAAAGCTTTTTCCAAAGATCAGGTGAGAAATGTGGTTTTGTGCTTTGTGTTCTGAACTATGCTAACATTGTACTTTTGTTTCTCAAATAAAGACATTACATGTGTTTATGATGACAAGTCTTTATTTCCTCCATCTGACAGCTTCACCAGAAAGTAATAGCACAGATTCTCAGAAGTTGTAATATTTGTGTTTCTTTGTCCTTTCCTTTTAACACAGATTTTCTTCTTTGAAAATGCTGAGTTCAGTCCCCATTGTTTGATTTCTGTTTTCCTCATCTCTTTTTAAGTGTTTGGATTCTGTCACCTTTCCCCTCTCCCTGCCCCCTCACCCAGCTCAGTTGAACACTTCAGTCCTAGAATACACCTTCTCCTTGTCTAGCTGTGTTCCTGACATGACTGAGGACCATGACTTGGTAGCTTATGCCTTCCCTTGCTGTGTACGTGACAGTCATTTCAGCCTAGTTTGAAATTGAGTGTTGTGATGACCCATTCGCCTTGCCTGAGCATAGACCCCGAGTTCTGCTGCTGGAAATACAGCCCCAGATCTCTGAGACCTCTTGAAATACTTTCTTTATGGTTTCTCTCCCTTTAGTCTCTTTCCTCCTCGTGTTTTAACCAAACCAATGTTTGTGCATTGGTGTTTTGGGGGGCTGTTTTAAATTCTGATGGTTTCTGATGAGATAGCTGAAGCAAGTTAGCCAAAGGTTTGAGTTCCGTCACATCCTCACTGGTGCCTCCCCGGGATGGAAGTGGGACTGCAGATGCTGTAACCTGCTGGGTCTTTTCTTGTGATGACCAAGTTCTTCCATTTGGCACAGATTTGCTATGAGCACCAAGGGACTCAGGAACATTTTTGCCTTTGCTGGTTTTCCTGTAGAGGATGTTGAGAAACTGCTGCCGCTTTGCCCAGATGTTTGATACTTTCTTTCTCCTTGTCTGCCCCTCGGATATCTAAGAAGCTTCATGTGCACTTGACTGTGCTAATTTGGCCTTAAATTGGTGTGTGGTGAAGTTTTGTGGAAGAACTGAGATATGAACTTGGATGTTGGTAGATAGATAGGTCCTGAGACCCCACAGCTCCTGATAACAAATGCTCAACGTCTTAACTCTGACCCAGGCTATCCTCTAACTCATGGCTATCTTCTGCCTCACCTCCCAGGTACTGGGAATGTAGGTCTGAGTCATGAACCCCATAGAGTTTAACTGTTTATTCAGTAAATTGAATATGGCCTGAGCTGGGGCCTTAGTGAGAGAAGATTTATAAGCAATTTCCTTCTCAGTTCCCAGCTGCCTCTGATTGTCACCTTACCTCACTCCCAGCAGGCCACTAAGATAGACTGGTAGCTCCAAGACATGTGTGTTTAGACATGGACATCCACACACACTGAGGCAGACGGATGGATGGATGGATGGATGGATGGACAGACAGACATCCCTACACCTACCTGCCAAGAGGCTGTATAAACTAAAAGTTTTTTATACAATATTGGAATAGGTGAAATTTTTACTGTAGAACCCCATCACTCTATAAATGTTTTGGTAATTTATACTTGATTTACATTTAATTTTCTGAGTTTATAAAAAGAATATTCACTTGTAGAAAACCTGGAAAGCAAAACTTCCCCATTCAGGGCTTCTTCTCTGTGTTTTGTGTTTGACACTTTGTGTCTGTCCTGCTGGTTTGGCGTTGTTATACATGTGTGTGTTGTTTCCAAAATTAGAGTCAAGTGCATGCTACTGTCTGTAGCTTGTTCTTTTAACAATATAACATTGCCCAAAGTTCCTTGTCTTCTGAAGTTACAGCTGTGTGTTAGCTCCACAGTGTTCTGTAGTATGCATGTAGTATGCATCCCTTAAGTGTCTCCTTTATGAGTGCATATCAGGGTGTTTGTACCCAACTGTGATATCTGCTTATTCTGTTAGTGAACTCTGTTTCTGGAAATTCACTTCAGTTCAGAAGTAGGAACTTTCAAGTCTTGACCTGAACTGATAATCACCACCTTCTAGAAGGGGATGCAACTGGGTACTTTTGTTAATTGTTCCTCTCAGTGTCTGGCTCTTTTCAGAGTAGTAATGGGACTTAAAAAAAAAAAAAAAGGCTCACTGTTTATGTCTTTCCCTGTGGGACAAATTTATCTTTGACTGCCAAGCACTTAAGGGTTCCTTCCCTCCTCCTGGAGAAATCAGTGTGTCTAGAATTTGTGTGTGTGCTAGGAATCCCCTGTGGACATACTCTGGAGTTAGATCCCTGCTCTGCTAAAGATTGTAGAAGTAAACTAAATTATAGTCTTAGAAATTCTAACTTTCAAATCAACTTTATTAGGAGACAGTCCACTAGGACACAAGATTTTAGAATGAATTTTAAAGTAATTTAGTAACAAATTAGAAGCAATACTACATTTCAGTGGAGAAAACACCCACCAGCTCAGGAACCCAATAAGTGGCTTGCTGGAGTGAGCACAGCTGTTACCCAGAAAGGAAGCTGAGATCTGAGACCTTGGTCTGACTTGGACATTCTGAACAGTGTTCTGTTTAAGCCTCCAGTTACTAGTTGGTTTTCTTCTACATAAAACTTGGCAGCAATGTACACTGGGTCTCTGAAAAGCCCTGGATAAGAAGGGAACACTTGTATAGAAACACTGCTTCCAGTCAAGGGTCCTGCTGTTGCTAGTTGACATCCCTTTAACTAGTCTCATGTGGCTCCTCGTCATAATAAGGGAGATTGCAGAGGCTCAGAATGATTGAGACTGGCAGTTGTGTTTAAATGCAGGGTTGGTTCTCAGATACTCTCTCAAAGCTCGGATACTCTCCTGGTGCTTTGCATCGTGTGACCCGGCCTGTGTTCTCTTAGTGTCTTCATTGTCTGCATAAGTGTGCAAGCAACCTCCTGATTATGTATTTGCAAGTAATCACAAAGTGTTTCATCGCTATTTTGCTCATTTTAGAATATTGTGGGTAATGCTAGGCCTAAAGAAACAGATCACAAAAGTCTTTCATCGTCTTCTGAGAAACGAGAGAAGTTTAAAGAGCAGAGAAAAGCCACTGTCAACGTGAAGAAAGACAAAGCAGAAAAACCTTTAAAGACAGAGAAGCGGCCCAAACAGCCTGACAGAGAAGGAAAGCTGACCTGCACAGAGAAGGGCAAAGTGTCTGAGAAAAGCCTTCCCAAGAACGAGAAAGAAGATAAGGAGAACATTTCGGGGAATGACAGGGAGTACTCTGGGGATGTCCAGGTGGAAAAGAAGCCTGAAAATGACCTTGTGAAGAGTCCACAAGAGAACCTGAAGGAGCCAAAAAGAAAACGAGGCAGACCCCCTTCCATAGCTCCTACTGGTGAGTTTCCCAAGCGGGCTCTGCAATGGGCGATGCCAGTGTCCTTCTGTGGCTTCTGGTTCTTTATGCCTTCTATACTTCAGTCCTTCGTGTTTGTGACGTGCTTGTGACCTGAAAACAGATCATGCCGGTGGAGCTGAATTTCAGTGAGGTGTGTGTCCAGGTGAACATGTTAGGAGTGTGGCCATGGCTGAGCTTCTGGGGTGTTTACCCCATCCTTCCCTGAAAGAGCCAAGGGAACTGAGGCCTCTCCTTGTGCCTGCTTATGTGACCTCTGTCTGAGGAAATAACATCCTAGTGAGCAGACACCAAAGAAGGGAGACGACGGGCTGGAGCCGCAGGTAGTAGTAGGGGACACTTTGAGCCTGCATGAGACCTGGGTTCAGGCCTTACTACCCAAAACAAACACATACAAACATGAGCCTCTGAGGGAGGCAGGGCCCAAAAACATTAGAGCTGGAGGCAAGGCTACATTTTGAAATTGAGCCTTTAGCGGACATTGTCGCTTGCACCTATGACAGTAACGCTTGGGAAGTAGAAGCAGGAGGATTAGCCTGGGCTTCTTGAACCTAGGTGATGATGAGACCCTGTCTCAAAAAGACATTGAGTTTTTAAAAGATGTTCATAGATAGAGAAAATTCAATCTAAATAAAAAGATAATTTGGTTAATTAAATTGATAAGAGTTAAGGATCCAGTATAGATTTAGAGAATAATACCCAATTATTAAAAAGAAGTATAAACTCTGAGGTAGGGGATTTCCATGAATGCAAGGCTAGCCTGGCCTCCATAGTAAGTTCCAGGTCAGCCCATGCTAGAATGAAACATTGCTTCAAAAAGCCAGGATTTAAAAAGAAAGAAAAAGGAAGGGTAAGTTTGGAATTGTAGAATAACCAAGAATGAAGCAAGTTTTGAGCTCTTATCAAGCCAGACACTCATTCTTTCTTCAGGGGATTTGGCAGCATGAAGAGTACTCCCTTAGATGTCTAGATGGAACTCACCCATGACTGAGTGCATTTGTGGTCTTTTGACTTTCTTCTTTCTATATTCTCTGCATGAACAGTGAAAAGCTGTTAACCTGGGGGCTGGAGAGATGACTCAGTGGTTAAGAACACTGGCTGCTCTTCCAGAGGTCCTGAGTTCAATTCCCAGTAACCACATGATGGCTCACAACCATCTGTAATGAGATCTGGTGCCCTCTTCTGGCCTGCAGGGATACATATAGACAGAATACTGTGTACATAATAAATAAATCTAAAAAGAAAGAAAAACTGAGCCCCATCACATTTTCAGATAACATCTATAAATTATGGTTTTTGTTTTTAATTGGGCTGGGAGCCCATAGCCTTGCACATGATAAACATGTGCTTTACCACTGAGCTACATCCCTAGGCCACAAAAAATTTTTTAATACAAGTTTAAGCAGTTGATAATTTAAAATGTACAATTTGACATAAAATATATTTTGTCAAAACTAGAATAATAGCCTACTCAGTGATACCTATCGGAAAAAGTCTACCTCAGGTTACTTCATTCAGATGGATACATGTAGTAGCACATCCTTCTCAAATCTGGGTTATAATTTTATAGGAAACTAGATAATAGCCTGATTTGTCTTCAGATGAAATATGTGGCTCCCCTCTTTGAAAAAACCAAAACAACAAGAAAAAAAGGCTGGATAAAGCCCTTGTTGCATATGCCTGCTAATCTGAATTTGGCTCTACCAAACCCACATGAAGGCTAGACACTGTAGGGCATGTCTGTAATCCTAGATTACCCATCCCAGGAGAGTCATTGGAAGCTTGTGGGCCAGCCACCTTGTTACATACAGCAAGAGATGGTTAGAGAGAACCTGTCTCAAGGTTTAAGACAAGGACCGATTCCCTGGATTGTCATCTGACCTCCATACTTGCTGTGATATGCAGGGGCTTGTATTTACTCACATACATGCAGAGGAAAATGCCTATCCCCCCCCCCCCACACACCAAAGAAAAAAGTCCTGTTTTTCTTTGTTTTTTGAGACAGGGTTTTTTGTTTTTTTTTTTGCATAGCCCTGGCTGAACTTGACTTGCTCTGTAGACTAGACTGTCCTTGGATTCAGAAATCCCCCTGTCTCTACCTGTTAAAATTAAAGGTCTTCACCACCACCAATTCTCCTTTTATTTGTTTTAATTGGCAGTGCTGGAGATCAAACCCAGGGCCTTCTGCACGATGAGCAAGTGCTGTTCCTGTTATTAAGCTACACCCATAGCCCTCTCTCAGTATATATATATATATATATATATATATATTTTTTTATATCGACTATATGTTGAAATGTTTTAGATGGATTGGTTTAAATAAAATATATTCTTAAAGTTAATTTTATTTTTTAATTTCTTAATATGATTGCTTAAAATTTTGATTACATGTTTAAGTTTATTTGCTGTCTTGACTGCCTTTGGAGAAAGAATTAAGCACCAATGCCAAGGTCTGCATGACTCCTGGTGAACTGACCTCTCTGCATTAAGAGTGGTACTAGCTGGCTGTGTACTGTTCTTAGGGAACTGAGAAAATACCCTGTGTGTCCTGTGTTCAAGTAAAGAATGAAGAATGTGCTGGTACAGTCTAGAGGTTTACCCATCCCAGATAGTAAGTGCACATGTTCAGATGGGAAATGAGTGGGAGGCAGGCTTCCCATTCAGGGATCGAGCCCAGCTTTGTTCACACGGATGCTTCACAATCATGCTACACCTCCAGACCCCAAAGCAGGCATTCTTTTGAAAGTTGGAGAAGGGCAGTTGTGTAGAGAGAGAGAGAGAGAGAGAGAGAAGAGATGGAAAGTTTGAGCTGGTAGAAATCGGACTTGTCTGCAGCTCAGTTTAGCTCTTCCTGCTGCAGCTTGGAGCCTTTGGAGTATGTACTGGGTATCTGTGTCCCAGGTCACAGATCCTTCCCATGGAGCCGTCCATGGCTTCAGTCTGTCCCTCATTCATTTATTGCTTTGTAAGTATGTGATTGCATGCCAGAGAGGACACATTTTAGAGAGAGGGTATTTTCCAGGTTTCCTGTTAACTGGACTGAGACACTTGTAAGAACAGGCTGCACTTGTGCCCAAGTACTCCTTGGTTAGCATCTGTGGATACCTTAGGCTCATGACTGTTAACAAGCTTCCCAGATGAGGTGTTCTGGGCGAGAGTTAGGGAAACACTCGGTTCTGTGTAGGTCCTTGTTTGTATGTCCTTTCAGATGGAAGAAGACTTGTCTGATGCTGCATACTTAGTTCAGGCACCCTTAAAAAATCAGGTAGCCCGGTTTCATTGACCTGGTGAGTCCTGAGTTTCCTAGATTGCACAGATCTGATTGGGAGTAGAATATGAATCTGAGTTGTGTAGAATGGAAGGGCTTGTGTTGATGTTTAGCTTGGAATCAAGCTTGGATCCAAGTTTCTGCCACTTGGAATACAATAATGTTGGTATGTTGGGAAGATTGAATATAGCAAGAGGCAAGAATGCGGATTGCCTCCTCACAGCTGGCCTCGCTTCTCTCCTTCAGCCACACTGAAGCTGCTGATCTTACCTGAGTCTTTTCTCTTTTTCCTCTCATTTGTTTCCTGACATAGTCCTCTTTTATCTTCTTTTGCCCCTCCTCAGATCCTTCAGTCCTGTCTCCTGCCGGTCACCCTAATTGTTCTTCGGTTTCATTTTTGATTTTCATCTTTCATATATGAGGAGAGTATCTTATGCTTTAGTCTTAAAAATAGAGAATGAAGCCTCTCCAGGGGCTTAGTGTCTGCACTACTGGGTTAGTGATCTACAGTCATGCCTGGGACACTGAGATTTGGGTTGACTTTCATTTAGATCTTCCAAACAATACAAAACAGAACAAAAACACTTAGAACCAGAGACAGCTGATTTAGCAGGTAGACAGTGAAACCAATTATCAAGCCCTAACCCAGCACACATTTTAAGAGTGAGCCTGCCTGGTGGGTTTTCTAAGTAGATCAGGGTTTGTTTAGTTTTAGTTCTTTCTTTTTCTGGACTGGTCAGCAGGTTTTGAAAAGATTTGATATTCAAAATGCCTGAAAGTGTTAGGCACTAGTGGTGCAAGCCTATAACCCCAGCACTTGAGAAGTGGGAGTCATTTTTAGCTACATAGAGAATTCAAGGCCATCTATATCTTCCTAATGCTGTGACCCTTTAATACAGTTCCTCATGTTATGGTGACCCCAACCATAAAATTATTTTCATTACTACTTTATAACTATAATTTTGTTACTGTTATGAATTGTAATGTAAATATTTTTAGAGATAAAGGTTTGTTAAAGGGTTTTCAACCCACAGGTTGAGAACCACTGATCTAGACTCTGTGAGACCCCCCCACCCCCAGTACCCTTCCCCAAGACTGCAGGAATCTTATTTGGTAGTGACTGACTGTAACCCAGGAGGTAGAGGCAAGAGGATCAGGAGTTAAGTCAGACCAGCCTAGGCTTACTATAATGTCTGATTTTTCCCCCCTCTCCTCCAAATAAAACAAGACAGCAGGAGCTTGTGCAGTAGTGTCTGCCTACAATCCCATCTGCTCCACAGAGCAAGGCAACTTAGCAAGGCACTGTCCCTCCTCTGTCTTCTGCCAAGGGATTTTTATATTGCCCACAAACCTTTGTATTTTTAAGAGGTCATGTTGGAATGTGGTATTTTACAGAGAAGATTTTTTAAGTACTAGGTTCTAGGCAAGACCACAAAAAGGAATCTAGGAAGTGAGTCTACAGAGTGTGTCACCATCTTCCCAAGAAAGCAGTTTCTCACCCATTTCCTTGTCTTGTCTTTTACCTAAAGTACAGATGTTTTTTTCAGAGTTTATTTAATAATATGCCTTTTTAATGTTTTGAGAGAGGGGTCTTACTGTAGTATCTGCATATAAGGATGTCTGTCATCTCTCTGTCTTTCTCTATATATTTAAAGTCTATATACATATATATTGTTTTATTTGTGTAAAGATGCACAATTAGGCACTAAGAAGTTATATATTTTTGTGTGCTTTGTATATATTACAGCTGTAGACTCAAACTCTCAAACTTTGCAACCAATAACATTGGAGTTGAGAAGACGGAAAATATCAAAAGGAAGTGACATCCCATTAAAACGTTCCCGACTTGACAAAAATTCATGTGAGTTTCCAATTTATATTTGTGACCAGACTTTCATAAATTATTTGGGTCAGCCTGTGTCTGTATGTCTGTCCTGTTTCTTATGAATGCTAATGACTGTCCTTGAGTAGATGAGCTAATGTGAATGGAATGTGGCCGAGTCAGTAGTTTTTGCTAGAAGCCAAGTGGTCTGTATTTGCATGGGGCTCAGTGTACCTGTTTCCATAAAGTATATTTGATTTGGATTCCTTTAGAATTATATGACCTAGTGAGGATAGATTTCATGTGGTGAGAATATCAGAAATTATATATATATATATGTATGTATGTATATATGTATACACACACACACACACACATACATACATACATACATATGAAAGCAAACATGCTGCCTTCAAAAAGGACTTGTGATAGCTTTAAATAGGTTCTCACAAGCCTTGATTTGGGGTTAGCATATAGTCTTTTACATTGGAAGCTCCAAAATAGAGCTTTGGTCAAGATTGGGGTGTACCTGTAGGCTTTCTCCAGCCCATACTATGACGTCTTAGCAAAGTAAAATTCCTTCCTAGCAGAAGTTTTGCTTTTACTGTGAACTAGGGAAGGCTATCAGTCTAACATTCCAGAAGCCTCTGTAGAAAGCCCTTGTAGAATTGAGCAGCTCAGAAGTCTGCCTTCGTGGAAATCTTCCTTCCTGTTGGTCTTTAAGTACAACTCTCTGAATGGTTTACAGCCCAGGAACAGCCCAAAAATCGTTCTGAAAACAGTGACAAAGACTTGTCCAGGAGACGGTCCTCCAGGCTGTCCACTAATGGGACCCATGAGACCCTAGATCCCGACTCGGTTGTACCAGATCTGGTTCATACGGTTGATACGAATCCTCTACAAGACAGGTCACCCAGTGCCAAGGAATCTGCCGAAGGTGAGTCAGTGCCTGGTTGAATTTGGCCAGCCTGGTGCCTGCCTACTCAGAACTAGTCTGGATTCTTTTGTATAGGCTTCTGTGTTAGACTCTACCGAAGATTTTTAAAATAATTTATTTATTTTTATTTTATGTGCGTTGATGTTTTGCCTGCATATATGTCTGTATGAGGATGCCAGATCTGCTGGAACTGGAGTTACAGACAGCTGTGAGCTGCCATGTGGGTGCTGGGAATTGAACTTGGGTCCTCTGGAAGAGCAGCTAGTGCTCTTAACCACTGAGCCATCTCTCCAGCCCCCTCTATTGAAATTTTTTAATTGTGTGTATAGAGCTGGAGAGATGGCCCAGTGGCACTCGCTGCTCTTGCAGAAGAACCAGGTTCAGATCCTAGTGCCCAAGTTACGTGGCCCACAAATACCTGTAACATCTGTTTTAAAGAGATCTGACATGATCTTTGCAGACACTGCTTGCATGTGGTACACAGATAGACTTGCAGACAAAACACACATACACAACTGGGTATGGTTGTACACACTTTTAATCTCAACATTGGAGAGGCAGAGAGAGGCAAGCATATCTTTGAGTTCCAGGCCAGCCAAGGCTACAACAAACAACACCCCCCAACCCATAAATAGGAAATAAAACAGAATCTAATAATAGTAACTCTTAAAAATATATATGTAGGGGGGCTGGAGAGATGGCTCAGAGGTTAAGAGCACTGCCTGCTCTTCCAGAGGACCCGAGTTCAATTCCCAGCAACCACATGGTGGCTCACAACCATCTGTAATGAGATCTGGCCTGCAGGGACACATGCAGGCAGAACACTGTATTCATAATAAATAAATAAATCTCTAAAGAAATATATACATATATACATACATATATATTTATATATAGTGTGTATGTGTGCTGCCTACTACAGAGCCACCTCTCCAGTCCCTGGTTAGATTGTATTGAAATCAACTGTTGAAGGTGCTGCAGCACTTGATAGTATATTGTTCTTCCCAGATGGTCTGGATGCTTTTGTGGTCATTTTTACTTACTTTCCATGCTGTGTGTTAGGCTGGAGCATGTGGATTGGGCAGCCCTGCTTTTCTGCCTTTTTGATGCTGCCTCGCTCCGTGTGCATTTTTACCATCCCTCTAGCCCCTGAAAAGTGTTCTCACATGTTGTTCTCTAAGTCATCTCTGACTTTCTAGTCTGTTTTGGGATTGTTTATTTCTTGATTGTTTACATATGTATTTCCCAAGTATTCTTTATTTATTTCTTCCTCTAGGTCAGTTGAAAACTCCATTGGAAGCTGGCCAGGTCTCATCTGCATTAACTTGCCATTCCTTTGGGGATGGACTGGGAGCTGCAGACTTGGAGTTGAACTGCAAGTCAATGGGAGAAAACACTATGAAAACAGAACCGGTATCTCCTCTTGCTGAGGCACAAGAGGTTTCGACTGTTGAAGGTGTGTGTTTAGAATGAATTTAATCATGCTTTATGTGTATACTTGCACTTTTATTTCAACTGTAAGGTGTGTTTGTTTCTTGAGACAGGGTTTCTCTGTGTAGCCCTGGCAATCCTGGAACTTGCTCTGTAGACCAGGCCTGCCTGTGCCTCCTGAGTGCTGGGACTACAGTCAAGCACCGCAGCCACCACCCAGCTCATTAGTAATATTTTAAGGCCTTCATACCTATAATCTCCACATTACAGAGGCAGAAGTAGAAGCATCATCACAAATTCAAGGCCAGCATCATTTAAATAGAGGGTTCCACGATAATAAATAAATAAAAACAAACTGAAATACAAGCCCAGGAGAGAGACAGGAAGGGAGGGAGGGAGGGAGGGAGAGAGAGAGAGAGAGAGAGAGAGAGAGAGAGAGAGAGAGAGAGAGAGAGAGAGAGAGAGAGAGAGAGAGAGAGAGAGAGAGAGAGAGAGAGAATCGGACAACCTCACTATGTAGCTCTGGCTGTCCCCTGTGTAGACTGGCCTATAACTCAGAGATCTGCCTAGCTCTCTCTTCCCAGTGCTGAGATTAAAGATGTGTGCCCTCCTGGCCAAATTCTTTTATTTAATGCTATGTTCCGTTCATTTCTGATTTTGTTACTATATTCCCTTTTGGTAAATTTGGCTAGGGACTTATCAATTTTATTGATCACTTCGAAGAAGTAACCTGATTAGTTTCTCTATTGTTTTGTCTCTAAAAGATTTGTCCTAGCTTTCTAGGATCTTATAGTTGCTTTAGCCCTGTCATCTTCTTTTCCCCGAGTATGTGTATGTTTGTGTTTGTATATGTACGATTGCACATCTATCCATTTAATCAGAAGATGTTAAATGCATGTAGGTTCCAACCTTATTCTAAACTGTCTTATTTGTGAATGTTCTATATGTAACACCGATTCACGCGGTTTCTAGATCAGTAGCTCTAACCCAAGTAGTCTTGGTGGTTGCTTGTCTATTATAAAGTGAACAGAAAGGCATTTGCCACCAGAGCATTAGAAGCCAACAAGTGTTGCAGTTTTAAGTAGGTTTGTTTACCATGATGCCTAAAAGAATTGTAACTTTCTCAAACTTAGGTTCTTTAGGCTGTTTGTTTGAGACAGGGCCTCACTTTATAGCTCAAGTTGGCTTAGCACTCCCTGTGTAGCCCAGGCTATCCCCCAAACTCATGGCCATTCTTCTGTCTCAGCCTCTGAGCGCTAGAATTACAGGCATAAGTCTCTTGGTTCTGTTTTCTTGAGTTGAGGGTCTTAGATGTGTAATCATTCTACTTTGGGAAGTTGTGTCTATAGCCCACTGTATCACCAAGTGGGCTTATCTATTTTAAGCCCTCCTGTGTTTTTCTGTTTAACAGAATGGATAATCAAAATGTGAACTCCAAAAACCTTTAAAGTACTTGGAATAGAATGTCTGCACCCCTGTGTGCCTGCTGCGGAGGAACTGAACTTGGAACTCTCTCTCTGAGTCCTCCTGTGTGCCAAAAAGTTCTGGCTGGCTGTTCATTTTACAAAGATGAATGGGCATTCTTGGGCTTAGTGTTCTTAACTGCCTCTGGGAGAGAGTTGTGATTTCGGCAGGCTTGGAGGAAGGGTCTTGGACCATGGGTGCCAGGCAGGTATTTGAAGATGGGGGCAAAGCACTGTGTGGCCCATGGGACTATCGGGTGTGTGCCTTTTAACTTAATTGCAGGCTTCCTAAAGTAGGTAAAGGCTTAACAAGAAAGCTGCTGTCAGTCTGAGGCCATTTACTTTGGAATTTGTGGAGTTCTTGACTTTGAAGTTAAGTCTAACGTTATAGTAGACAAAGGAGCCGATAAGTTGCAAGAAGAAGCAACTCATTCAAAACTCTGCTTCTGTGGATTGCTAGTGTGCTGGTCCCAAATCCTGCCCTCCTGCTGTGTCTCCAGCCCTTCTGATGAGGTGCTGGGTGCTGTGAACACAAGGAGTGGCGAACACAGTTGCTGCCTGGAGGGATTTTGTACAGCGTGAGGTGCAGGCCCATCTGTTTCCCAGGTGCTAGTTTGTCACAGGCAAGTGTCCACTCTGAATAAGAGGCAGTGTGCAGTAGGTGATCAGGAGCTAACGGGAGAAAAGTGTTGTCCTACAAGCAGAGTAGCGTTCTTGGGGTTTGTTTTGGAACAAGGGCTCTGTGGGAAATACAGATGATACAGAAAGATTGCCGAGAAGAAGGCTACTAAAGACTCATGCTCCAGGAATGCGTTATATAAACAAACAGGAAACAGGCTGGGATGTCAGCAAAACAGCCACAGGGAGCAGGGGCTGCTAGAGGCAGTGCAGTCACTGGGTTGTGACTGTTCTCCAGGCTACCACCACAGCTTTGGTGTTCCCAAACCTAGATGGAGTCATGTCTGTGTGAGAGACTTCTAGGCAGCAGTTGGAGCTGGCATAAACAACATGTCAGAGAAGGTTGGCATCTGGGCCTCAGCACAGGCACCTGGGGTAACACTGCCATCTTATGGAATAGATATGTATTGGTGTGTATATGTGTAGAAATTGATATTCTGTGGGAGAGCTGGGAAATGTTCACTGGGACTAGGCGCATGGAGGTCAAGGGACATCTTTATGAGTCACTCTCTTTTACCTTTTATGTGGGTTTTTGGGAATCAAATCACATTGTCAGACATACACAGCAAGCACCTTTACTCACTGAGCCATCTCGTTTGCTCTCAAATATTTTTCTTAGATATTTTTCCTGAGCATACACATACATGTGTGTACATATGTAAACATACTCATATGTATTATCTTTTTTCTTAGCGCTAAGGACTGAACCAAAGATTCATCTCTACTGAACACATACTCTGTTACTGAACTACATGCCTGGTCATGCCTTCTTTTCTCCTGCGGTGCTAGATTGAACCCAGGGCTTTGTACAAATCAAGTAAGGGTTATACAAGTGAGTTATACCCTCAGCCCTAAGTGTATTTTTAAGTTAATCTAATTTTAAATTATCTCAAGCCCATGAAAATGTTGTAAATATAGTACAAAGAAGAGAAGCATGGTGACTCACATATGTAATTCCAGCATTTGCAAGGCTGAGGCTGGAGGGTCATTGTCAGTTTGAGGCTACCCTGGGCTACCCAGTGAGTTCAAGGTCAGCCTGGGCCCCAAGTTTGTTTAGGATGATATGGGGCACACGGTGAAATTCTGTCTCAACAACAACAGTTAGTAGAAAGGATTTCCGTAACCGTCTCTTATGTGGGAGAACGTGACAAAACAGCATCTGATAGGACAGGAGGTGGAGCAGGTATTAAAGGAGTGTTGCTTTAGAGCTTCCAAACAGGCGGGTCCTTCTCCCCTCCCTGCCCCAGGCTCTCATAGAGTTAGAGTATGTGTGTTCAAGCTCCCTGACTAGGTCCAACCAACCACAAACTCCCCATCTCCTGCTGCCTTCTGTCTGCCAGGTACAAGAAGCCGCTGCCACACTCAAGTCACTGTCTAATCTGCTTTTAATTTTTCCTAGTGTACATGGTTTTAAAGTTGATAGGAAAAAGGACAGTGTCCTTTATAATTTTGTTGTTGGTTTTTGGTTTTTCGAGACATGGTTTCTCTGTGTGACAGCCCCAGCTCTCTTGGAACTTGGTTGGTAGACCAGGCTGGCCTTCAACTCTGAGATCCACCTCCTCTGCCTCTTGGGATTAAAATGCTAGGATTAAAGGCGTTTGCCACCACATCTAGCCCTAATTAATTAATTTTGAGACAGAGTTCCTTGTATCCTAGATTGCCCTGGAACTTGCTGTATAGGCGAGGCCATCTTCACCTCCTGACCCTCCTGTCTCCACTTCCAGTGTGCTGGGATTGTAGACCACCAAACTTGGTGTATTTGGGGTTAAGGGCTTGAGCTAAGGCTTTGTACAAAGCTGCCAGGCCTTCTGCCAGCTAGGCTAGATCTTCTGGCATCCTTAATAATTTATTGTAGACAGGGTCTGACTCTGCAGTCCAGGTGGCCCCTAAACTCACAGTAATCCTCCTGTGTTAGCCTCTGAATGCTGGAATTATAGACTTGACCCATCACACCTTGCTCTTTCACTGTATTCTTACTATTTGTTGTTGTTTTCAATTGTAAGCTTGAATGGGGTCATTCACATGTATGGAGTGTATGGAGTAGCAGCTTGCCATTTCATCTCACAGTGTGTCTTGAGGTTAAACGAGTTAGTAAATGCAGACCTACTTCATTCTTTTCTCTTTTCCTTTTCTTTCTTTTTTTTTGGATGGAGTCTTGTGTGACCCAGCCTGCCAACCTGACTTAGTATGTACATGAGTATGGACTCCCAATCCTACTGCCTCTAACTCTAAGACGTAGGATTACAGGCCTGTACCACTGTGCCTAGGCAACACAAGCACACGCTTTATACTGCTAAGGTTGGAACTACAGCCTCACTCATGCTAGGCAAGTACTTTGCTAGGCAAGTGCTCTACTCTATTTATTCTATTTAATGATTGGTTAGAATTATACAATACAGACCTGGACTGTAGCTCATTTGGTATAGTGCTTGCTTAGCTTGGAGGAAGCCTGGGTTCAAACCTCAGTACCACATAACCCAGATATGGGAGTGCACAGCTGCAGTCCAAGCATAAAGGATTAGACGTTCATGACCAGTCTGACATGCATGAGACTATGTCTCATAAAGAAAAAGTTACATCTGACATGATGGTTCACTCCTTTATACCAGTGCTTGAGAAGCAGAGGCAGGAGGATATCTGTGAGTTTCAAGTCAGCCTGGTCTCATAGTGAGCTCCAAGACAGCTAAGGTTATATAGTGAGTCCCTATCTTTAAAGAAAGAAAAAGGAAAAAAGGGAGAGAGAGAGAGAGAGAGAGAGAGAGAGAGAGAGAGAGAGAGAGAGAGAGAGAGAGAGAGAGAGAGAGGGAGGGAGGGAGGGAGGGAGGGAGAGGGAGAGAGAGAGGTAGATAATGCAGATTTGCCATAATTTAACTGAATAAAATTC